TCCAAAGGTGCTGTTAAAGTAATTTCTCCAGACTTTTGATGAATTTCAAATGTCTTGTGAATATCTTCTGAGGCATGGGAAAAGGTATAGGATAGTTCACCATTTGTTCCAGAGTCTAAATCCCAGGCTGAGACGGTCACAACCAGGGAGCCAAGGATGCTATTCTCTAGAATCTCCACCTCATAAAAAGCCTGCTCAAACTCAGGGGAGTTGTCATTAACGTCCACAACCACCACCCTGACCAAGGCAGTTCCAGACCTGGGAGGGGACCCGCCATCCAGAGCAGTGAGGATGAAACTGAGCTCCGGTTGCTCTTCATAATCCAGCGCCTTGTCCAGGACTAACTCGGGGTATTTTCTATTGTCTGGATTGACTCTCATTTTAATGTGAAAATGAGAGTTGGGGCTTATTGTGTAGCTTTTCACAGCATTGACTCCTACATCTGAATCCTTTGCACTTTCAAGCAGGAACACAGCACCAACAGGACTGTTCTCTGGGATTTCTAGGAGCATTTCTTTTTCCAAGAAGACGGGAGAGTGATCGTTTATATCCCTGACCTGGAGCTCAATTTGTAAAAACTGAGTGGGGTTTTTCATTAACACCTGGAAATACAGCACACAAGGCTCGGTGGAACCGCAGAGCTCCTCCCGGTCTAGCGTTTCACTTAAGAGCAAATCCCCATTGTTTATGTCCAGCTGCAAACGCTGTTTCTTATCCTTAGAGACCACCTGGGCCCCCCGGGAGGACAGTTCTCTCACCTTCAGCCCCAGGTCCTTTGCTAGATTGCCTACAAAACTCCCACTCTGCATTTCCTCTGCCACAGAAAAGCTCCCAGTTTCAGAGACTGCCTGAGACATTCCCAGCAAAACAAAGAGAAGCAGGACTTGCCTTATCTGCAGAGTGCATATTCCTCCATTCTCCATAGCTCCTCTCCTGTAAGCTTCTTGCAGAATGGCTTCAGTTCCGGAGAATGCGTCTCTGACCTGTTCACAAAATCCTCAGACGTCTAAGGATTTTAACCCTGTTGAATGACTTTTAGGCCACCCTCTTGAAGGCTTGTTCTTTCTGTCTTCTGATTTTTCTGTATGCACTGGATGTCACTGTCCACAACGCCATCCAGTAGATTTTTTTTTTCACGATGTTATCCTGCAGCGCCACCAAGTGTCTCCATAGATTTTCACAGTTTGATGAAAGCCACCTAAATTCCATTCTCTTTTCCGTCCTCCAGAAACAAATGTTGTTTTATTCATTGTGTTCAAGTGATTGCAAATATATTACACCTTCTCTAATAATTGTTTCATATTCTCTTTAGTCTGATATGCTGTTAGTATTCATCGTAAAGCATTTATCTTTCCCCACTCCCCACACAACCAAATCCACTTAATTTTGTATACAGAAATACAAGATGTGATTCCTGGCCCCAGTGGTTTGTAATCTCTCTGAGAAGATTAGAAACATGAAACAACAATAATATTATTAAGCTGAAAAAATTCCATTACTACTTGACTTTCCTTAGGTCGTGAGGAAAAGGCAAAGTATACATGGGTCATTTTAGAAGCCCTTTCAGAGAATATGAAACCGGATTAACCATGAGATGGGACGTACTCTGATAGTTATGATAGCACTAGAAGGCATTCATATAGATTTCCTTGGTAGCAAGGAATTGTGAACTGCTAGAAAGTAAAGTAAGACATGGGGAGTAGAACATATTATGAGAATCCTCGAGTTAGTTCCAACTTCTCAAAAAATACTAAGCACACAGGCACAAGCATATTAGTTTCATTTAAAGCAAGTTTATTCCTAAGACTGGCCTCTCTCAGTTTCCCAAGATTTATTCCAGAAACAACTATGGCTATCTGCTTTCTTTTTCAACTTAAGAAGAGAGAATGAGAGAGATTTTCTTCCTCAATAATAAACAAAATCTTAGCCCTCATTCTGATTAGACCAACTAAGAGCACTTCAGCCTGTTGCTGAAGAAATCAGTGTCTCAGTACATATAGGATTAAAGGTAGAGATTATAGTCCCAGAATCTAAAGACTCCATCTTTAGCCCTTTGTTTTATTCCAGTCAGAGATTATCCCTCAAACCTGAGGTGGTTTCAGTCCCAGCCAAAGTGCATGGCTGCTACATAATGAAGTAGATAGCTGGAATAGGTTGGAATAGGATAGTTGGAACCTACCAGTGATGTTCATTATTAAAGATCTCAAAGTACTCTCGAGAATGGAGGACATCTAAGAAGTCTGCATTTTAAAAATGATAAATTCAAATTACATTCATAAAAATGTGAACTAGATACATGGCTGAAAAATTATCAGTTCAGAAGAGGAGAACTTGAATAGTATGTGGATTGACTATACAAATATCCTTTGTCCTTAAAGCCCCTCTAAAATGACACCAACATAATAAAAAGGTATGCACTCACAAAGGCTAAGAATACATAAGTGAATACACAAATTACCTGATGATAGAAAGCAGATGAAAGGCCAATTGACAACAGTTCCAGGAAATGTCTAAAATAAATTTCCTGCCTTGGAAATACTAAAAATAAATGACTGGGTTTTCCCCACATAATCCTAATAGGTACTAGACTTGGAGGAACCAGGTGAATAAGAAGACTGAAGTTAGGTAAGGACTTTAAAAAGAAGTTATTAGTTAAAAGTATGTATATAGGATAGTTGAATTCTCTGGGCTTTTCACCATCCTACGAAGACAAGAAAATAACTGAGAGTGAGAGAATGGAAAGCTTATACTCAGGAGAAGTTAGATTATATTCTGGAGAAATTATACTATCTCCAGTCTTGGAGATCCCAGGCAGAGCTGAGTGAAACTATGAGGTATGAAACTAAAGATAAGGAGATTAGGTAAAACGTTGCATTCTGAATAGTGAGACTTCTAGCCCATGATACTCTCAGATGGTAGAGCACAAGATATATGTCTGACCTCTTTTCCATTGAACCACAAAACATTGAGTATTGTAGAATTCTATCCCGGGGAATATGAAAGGTACAGATAAAGACTTACATGTACTGATATGTGGGGGTTTCCCAAGGTAGTAGCTCTATCCTAGCATGGTTACATTAGAATGAAGACCTGTCATCAACACTCACGAAGGGTTGACTGTCAGCATTTTCTATGTCATCATTCATATATATAACAAGATAGCCAAAGATCATAAGACACTTGAGAAAATGCCTACAACATGAAATAGAAAGACGAAAGCTAATACTACCACCACACACACAAAGCAACAGGAGGGAATAGATATAATTCAGAAAACAGAAGAAAGGCTTAAAAAATGTCGGATTAATATCCCCAGAGAAATAAAATGTAATAAGAGCTAACACTTACTGACTTACTCTAAGTTCATTATTCTAGTACCTCATGTATTTATCCAGTTAATGTTAACAATACCCATATCAAGTACATATTTATATCTAGAAGACAAACAATAGCTTAAGGCTTACGTGCCCCTTACTAGCTGTATAACCTTAGGCAAATTCTTAACTTCCCTGTGACTCACTTGGAATTTTAAAATGGGTACAATAATAACTCTTACTATATAATGCTTTTTTTTTTTTTTTGAGACAGAGGTCACCAGGTGCCAGGCTGAAGTGCAGTGGTGCGACCTCAGCTCACTGCAACCTCTGCCTCCCAGGTTCAAGCAATTCTCCTGCCTCAGCCTCCCTAGTAGCTGGGACTACAGGCATGCACCACCATGCCCAGCTACTTTTTCTGTATTCTTAGTAGAGGCGAGATTTCACCGTGTTGACCAGGATGGTCTTCATCTCTTGACCTCGTGATCTGCCTGCCTCGGCCTCCCATAGTGCTGGGATTACAGGTGTGAGCCACCACGCCCAGCCTATAATGCATTTTTAAATAATAGATTAATTATAACTGAGAGAAGATTTACATTTGCAAATTTGTAATGGGATGTTATGAAAAACCAAAAGTGCTCTTAAAAATAAACATTTGTTACCCAAAAAGAAAAACTTAAATCTGAATATTGGATAATTAAATAAATTGCTTAATAAATAGAACAAGAGATTAAAAAGAAAGAAAAACCACAATATAATTTAGAGTTTCAGAAAGTCAACCCAGGAGGTCTAATACTTAATGAGATTCTAGTTAAAGTGAGAATGTAGAAAACTCAATGGGTAAATTACTAGTAGAACATTAAAACATTTCTCAGAACTTACAGTGAGAGTCTATATGTTAACAAGGTGTGCCTGCATGACCAGATTCATAAATAAAATGCCTGTATTAAGGTCTTTTCGGAATACAAGAGAAAGTTTTTCAATGTTTCCAGGGAAGGAGGTAAGAGAGAAGGACACATAAAAAGAGGTAGGCATCAAAATGGAGTCAGTCTTCTAAAGAGCAACTAGACACACAACAGTAAAAGAAACAGCTTCAGCTTTCAACATCCGAGGGGAAATTAGTTTTAATCTAGAATTTTATACCCAGTCAAAGTATCCAGCAAATGAAAACAAATCAAAGAAAAAAGATATCTTCACAATGAAAAAAGGAAATGTAATTATAGTACAGTACACAAAGGCATATTCTGAAGTATTCAGCAATATAGATACTAACTACTAATTTAACTAAGAAACTGTGACATCTATATTAGGAGAATAGAAGAAAAATAATTTGCAATGTTTGTATATGTTTGCTAGTTTGGAAATAAGAAAGCTAAATGCTTTTCTATTACACACAGAAATGATTCAAGTACAAAACCATATCAAGATATGGCATCGTAAACATACGATTTATAAATATTGAGATAAATTCAAGAAGAAACCACACTGTGGTAAGAGACTGGAAGAAGAGCTAATTAAAAAACTATGAAATGTTAGTAATATATATAGCATATTTTTAATATATAGTAATACGAAAACTAATGAAACTATTGTTTTTTATTCTAACCTTTAGGTCCTCTTGATTTTTAAAAATTTGGTATTTAAATTTGCAACATAAAAAATGGACACCTACAACAATCTCAAACACAAATTTTAAAATGTTTTTATTTGTATTCATTTTCATGTAGTTTATAATTTTGTTTCAATTATAAGGCATAGTTTGTTTTATACATCAGAAAAGATAACAGAAGAAAACATTGGCCAAGTGAAAGTAGCATGCTTAAAAGATAAAAGAATAACTATAGCTATGGATATTACTGATGTTCAATATTGCTCACAATATGCTTTGTTTCATTGTGTCATAAGCATAGCAGTAGAGAAATATTTCTTCTTAAACGTTGTGATTTAGAAATAAATGACATGGTTTTCAAATACGAGTATACAGAATGTTAGAGTAACTTTGAAAATGTAGAGATGCCTTCTAAAATAGAGCAAGTACACTATATAGACAGAAGTGATTAGGGTCATGAAGTGCAAGATCTGAAATAAATCAAAACTTCCGATTTTTATGAGATATAATAGTAATTAATTGCTTAGGTAGTTTGAAATAATTAAAATCTTAACACTATTATTTAGAAACAAGTACTAATTAAATGAAACCTAGCTGTTATTAATGAAGAATATCATAAAACATTGTAAAACCACAGGGATACACTACTCTAAAATAATGCTTGAAATAGTATAGTATCTTCAATTTGAGATTTAAAAGTAAACTCATGGCAATATGGTTATATAACACACCAAAAGTACATGAAACTATAAACAGACTTTACTGAATATTAAATCCAAAGCTATTTGGGAAGGAGGAATTTTCTTCACCCTTCCTCCTGGGGCCCTGTGCCTGAATATCCGGGATAATTGGTTTCAAGAACTTAAACGCACTGGTCTCAGAGCCTCCCGACAGACACACCTCATATTTATAGCTCTGGGACAGGGTCCCGGTGCCACTTATGTCCACCAGATGCCCTGGAAAGGGACCCTCGGGCACCGAGCAGCGACCCACCGACGCCGCCCTGCTCCTCCTGCACAGCCGCACCGCCACGAACAGGAGCACCGAGAACAGGAAGAGCGACGACACCGAGGCCAACGCCACCACCAGGTAGACGGTGAGCGAGTCGGCCTGGGCCTGGGCCGGGGCCGCCTCCGGGAGCGGCAGGTAGGGCTGGGAGAAGCCGTCCACCAGGAGCACGTGCAGCGTGGCGGTGGCCGAGCGCGGGGGCTCGCCATTGTCCTTGACCAGCACCACCAGCCTGTGCTTGGCCGCGTCGCGCTCGCTCAGCAGCCTGGCGGTGCGCACCTCGCCATTGTGCGCCCACACGCCGAACAGCCCGGGCTCCGTGGCCTTGAGCAGCTGGAACGACAGCCAGGCGTTCTGGCCCGAGTCGCCGTCCACCGCCACCACCTTGCTCACCAGGTAGCCCGGCTCGGCCGCCCGGGGCACCAGCTCGGTGCAGGGCGCGGAGCCGTTCTGCAGCGGGTACAGCACGAAGGGCGAGTTGTCGTTGGCGTCCAGCACCAGCACGCGCACCAGCGCCTCGCTGCTCAGCGCCGGGGAGCCGCGGTCTGTGGCGCCCACGCGGAACTCGAACGCCTGCAGGGCCTCGTAGTCCAGCGCCCGGAGGGCGAACAGCTGTCCGTTGTCCGCGTTGATGGAGACCAGGGAGGCGAGGGGCAGGTGCGGGTCCTGGGGCGGCAGCAGCGAGTAGGTGACCTGGGCGTTGCTGCCTGAGTCTCTGTCTGTGGCGCTGACGCTGCCGATGTGCAGGGCGGGGCTGTTGTTCTCGCGGACGAACAGGGTGTAGGAGGTTTGAGTGAAGGCAGGGGCGTTGTCGTTGACGTCGGAGACCCACACGGTTAGGTTGTGCTGGGTTTTCAGCCTGGGTGTCCCCAAGTCCGTGACGGTGATGGTGATGTTGTACTCGGCTCTACTCTCTCTGTCTAGCGCCCCTTCTGTCATTAGGATGTAAAAATTCTCCACGGAAGGTTTTAGTAGGAATGGCAGATTCTCTTGAATGTAGCAAACCATCTTTCCATTTTCCCCAGAGTCTCTGTCTTTAATCTTAAAAACAGCAAGTGCCGTCTCAGGAGAGTTCTCAGCAATATAGTTGGAAAATGATGACATGATGAGTTCAGGGGGATTGTCATTGATGTCCAGTACTTCCACCAAAACCCTACATCTTGCAGAAAGGCCACCACCGTCTATTGCCTGTATATTTAATTTGTAAGAATTTACTGACTCATAATCAAGCAACTCTCTGAGAAAGATTTCCCCAGAAAAAGGATTGATTTGAAAGGTTGTTCGAATATTTTCTGAGGCATCAAAAAACGAATAGGCTACTTCTCCATAGACCCCAGAGTCTACATCTTCTGCCGATACCTTAACAATAAGGGACCCTACCGGGCTGTTTTCTGGAGCCTGGGTCTCATAGAGCGCCTCTGTAAACTGTGGGGCATTGTCATTGACGTCCAAGACCAAGATGTTTACAGTAGAGGTCGCAGACCTGGGTGGAGATCCACCATCCAGCGCTGTGAGGGTTAAGCTGAGTTCTCCCTGTTCTTCCCGATCCAGTGCTTTGTCCAACACTAGCTCCGGATATATCATGCCTTCATCACTGCCACTAATTTTAATATGGAAAAAAGAGTTGGGACTGATCGTGTAGTTTTGGATACTGTTAAGTCCTCCATCTGGATCCTGTGCTCTTTCTAGTCGAAATGCTGCCCCTTCAGCTGTATTTTCTGGTATTTTTAAGGCTGTTTCTTTCTCCTGAAATACTGGTGAGTGATCATTTATGTCCCTAACTCTCAGCTCAGCCCGGTAAATCTGAAAGGGATCATCCATTAAAATTTGGAAATACAGTATACAGGGCTCTGTGGAGCCACACAGCTTCTCTCGGTCCAGTTTCTCATTTGTGAGCAAATTCCCAGTCTGTGAATCCAGGAGCAGATATTGTTTGTTATCATCGGAAACCACCCTGGTTCCCCTTGCAGCCAGCTCCCCCTCTGCTATTTCCAGATCCTTTGCCAGATTGACCACAAAGGATCCTCTCTCTGCTTCCTCCACCACCGAATAACGTCTAAACCCAGAACCTGCCAAAGACACTCCCCAAAAAACATAAAAAAACAGGACTTGCCTTTGTCTTGGAAAGCACAGCACTGTGACTGCCATAGCTTCTGAATACGTTTTTCCTGGTTGGTTACGACCACAGCTCCCAGCAAAAGAACAGCAGTAGGAAACCCTACACCTTACGCCGTGTAGCACAGGGGTCTTATTTGTCCATTTCTTTTCCCAATCTTGGGCAGCTACAGCTTCTAAGTTCATCGGTCTGTGACTTACACAGCATCCTCAGGTCAGTCCCCAAATCGTCTCTTTAGGCTGCAGCGCCACCGTGTGGCCTCCAGCAGATTTCAGTAGTTGTACCCATTTGTGTGTGTGTATTCAATTTTCCTTTAGAGCCTCATTTAAATTTTTCATTTTTATTTTCCTTTGTCTTGTAAGTATTAACTTTGAGACAGAGAAATGGTCACATTGTTGAGATTCTCCAATTCATTTTAGGAAAAGCATTTAAACTGTCCCTCCTCTATGCTCTCATAAAAACTTGTGTATACCACTATGATTGCCCTGTAAATTCTATTGCTTCTTATTTCATGCCAGTCTGTTTCTTCTTCAATATGTGGGCTACTTCAGGATAGGATAACTAGTCATCTCTGGGTGATAAATCATAGATGCAGTAAATACCGGCTGCATTAGAACATGCATAAATAAACTCAGGTGGGTAGAACATGAAACATTTTTCAGTTCCTTTCAATTGCTACCATTTGAAAAATTTTGTTCTTTCACTTGCTCTTTGCAATTTGTTTCCTTACTTTCATTTGTCTTTGTTTTTTTCTGTTTTAGGTTCAAAGTAACTTACAGGGTTAAATAAGAGATTTATCCTTATTTTAAGGTCCCCTCTTAATTAAAATTTAGCAGGTTCTAATTTCTCTGCACCAAATAAAGAGAGGTAAAGAGCAGATCACACTAACACCTATCTGGACACTATTAAAATTAAGAACAGAGTTATAATGTATTTTTTACATAGAATCTTATTCCAAGGGCTTATATATAGAAAGAAGTTCTATTTTTCTAACATAGGCAAGGGAAAAAGATTAAATCAAGGAATGTTGTGGAGGAAAGGCTAGACACTACCAACACACTCTTCTAATTGTTAAATTTAAAAGCCACACAACATAAACCTCTATTTTGTGATTGCTATTGTTTTTCCAACTGAATGGCACTGGGCTGTTGGCCATAAAAAAATTTAACAGGAATCTCAGGAACCTCTGATTTATTTATACAGAATTTAATGGAGCAAATTAAATATTTTCACACGATCCTATAGAATGACTAAACTTACCCCTTTCCGTTTTTGATGGAAGGGGGAGTTTCCAGACAGAAGCCCATTTACACATGCTCAATGCCTTACAGCTGCTTTTCTTCTGAGGCTGATTAGAGGTTTATCATATCACTTATGACAGAAACATTATATTTCAAATAGGAAACAATCAATGCTGAGAAAGTAGATTTTTTTTAAAAAGGTAAAGTTTAAGAAAATTGTTTTAATTAACATTAAGGATGGCAAACCATTAAGAATACCGGTTTCAAAATAGAAGGAATAGCAATTAGTAACAGCACATATTACATGCAGCAGATTATTTAAACAAGTAAAAAGTTCTTGGAAAAGAACTAATGAACAATATAGACACAATGAATAAAAAGTTAATAAAGACATTTACACCTAGCAAAAAAGTATAATAGTGCCAACTTTGAAAAAAATTCTATTTCACTCATGGGATTCCAGCAAGAAATGCATAGACAGGATACAAAATTTAAAAAAAGTTAACTTGTAAAGTTAAGCATAATATGCAAAGTTGAAGATGAATCAAACAAAAAAAGCCTCTTTTTGGTGGTGGGCATACACAATGTAGTTAACTAAGAAGAATATATTAAAGAAATAAATGTCTTTATTAAATGAGTCCCTTTCAATAATTAAATCCAAAACTATTCTGGAAAGTAGAAGTTTCCTCTATTTCTTTCCCACAGCTTTGGGGCTGGAGGTGGGGGATAACTGGCTTCAAGAACTTGAACTCGCGAGTCTCTGAATCTCTCATCAGACACACCTCGTACTGGTAGCTCTGGGACAGGGTCCCGGTGCCGCTCACGTCCACCAGATGCCCCGGAAAGGGACCCTCGGGCACCGGGCAGCGACCCACCGACGCCGCCCGGCTCCTCCTGCACAGCCGCACCGCCACGAACAGGAGCACCGAGAACAGGAAGAGCGACGACACCGAGGCCAACGCCACCACCAGGTAGACGGTGAGCGAGTCGGCCTGGGCCTGGGCCGGGGCCGCCTCCGGGAGCGGCAGGTAGGGCTGGGAGAAGCCGTCCACCAGGAGCACGTGCAGCGTGGCGGTGGCCGAGCGCGGGGGCTCGCCATTGTCCTTGACCAGCACCACCAGCCTGTGCTTGGCCGCGTCGCGCTCGCTCAGCAGCCTGGCGGTGCGCACCTCGCCATTGTGCGCCCACACGCCGAACAGCCCGGGCTCCGTGGCCTTGAGCAGCTGGAACGACAGCCAGGCGTTCTGGCCCGAGTCGCCGTCCACCGCCACCACCTTGCTCACCAGGTAGCCCGGCTCGGCCGCCCGGGGCACCAGCTCGGTGCAGGGCGCGGAGCCGTTCTGTAGCGGGTACAGCACGAAGGGCGAGTTGTCGTTGGCGTCCAGCACCAGCACGCGCACCAGCGCCTCGCTGCTCAGCGCCGGGGAGCCGCGGTCTGTGGCGCCCACGCGGAACTCGAACGCCTGCAGGGCCTCGTAGTCCAGCGCCCGGAGGGCGAACAGCTGTCCGTTGTCCGCGTTGATGGAGACCAGGGAGGCGAGGGGCAGGTGCGGGTCCTGGGGCGGCAGCAGCGAGTAGGTGACCTGGGCGTTGCTGCCCGAGTCTCTGTCTGTGGCGCTGACGCTGCCGATGTGCAGGGCGGGGCTGTTGTTCTCGCGGACGAACAGGGTGTAGGAGGTTTGTGTGAAGGCGGGGGCGTTGTCATTGACGTCGGAGACCAGCACGGTTATGCTGTGCTCGGTTTTCAGCCTTGGGTTCCCCAAGTCAGTGACGGTGATGGTGATGTTGTACTCGGCTCTGCTCTCTCTGTCCAGCGCACCTTCAGTCATTAGGATGTAAAAATTGTCAACAGATGGTTTCAGAAAAAAAGGCAGATTATCTTGAATATAGCAAACCATCTTTCCGTTTTCTCCAGAGTCTCTGTCTTTGATCTTAAAAACAGCCAGTATCATCCCAGGAGAGTTTTCAGCAACAGAGTTGGAAAGTGATGATACGATCAGTTCAGGAGGATTGTCATTGGTATCTAATACCTCTACCACAACTGTGCATCTTGCAGAAAGGCCTCCACCGTCCATTGCCTGTATATTTATTTTGTAAGAACGTACTAGCTCATAATCAAGCAATTCTCTGAGAAGGATTTCCCCAGAAAGAGGATTGATTTGAAAGGTTGTCACAATATCTTCAGAAGCATCAAAAAACGAATAGGCTACTTCTCCATTGACCCCAGAGTCTACATCTTCTGCCGATACCTTAACAATAAGGGACCCTACCGGGCTGTTTTCTGGAGCCTGGGTCTCATAGAGCGCCTCTGTAAACTGTGGGGCATTGTCATTGACGTCCAAGACCAAGATGTTTACAGTAGAGGTCCCAGACCTGGGTGGAGATCCACCATCCAGCGCTGTGAGGGTTAAGCTGAGTTCTCCCTGTTCTTCCCGATCCAGTGCTTTGTCCAACACTAGCTCCGGATATATCATGCCTTCATCACTGCCACTAATTTTAATATGGAAAAAAGAGTTGGGACTGATCGTGTAGTTTTGGATACTGTTAAGTCCCCCATCTGGATCCTGTGCTCTTTCTAGTCGAAATGCTGCCCCTTCAGCTGTATTTTCTGATATTTTTAAGACTATCTCTTTGTCTCGAAACACTGGTGAGTGATCATTTATGTCCCTAACTCTCAGCTCAGCCCGGTAAATCTGAAAGGGTTCATCCATTAAAATTTGGAAATACAGTATACAGGGCTCTGTGGAGCCACACAGCTTCTCTCGGTCCAGTTTCTCATTTGTGAGCAAATTCCCAGTCTGTGAATCCAGGAGCAGGTATTGTTTGTTATCATCGGAAACCACCCTGGTTCCCCTTGCAGCCAGCTCCCCCTCTGCTATTCCCAGATCCTTTGCCAGATTGACCACAAAGGATCCTCTTTCTGCTTCCTCCACCACCGAATAACGTCCAGACCCAGAACCTGCCAAGGACACTCCCCCAAAAACAAAAAGAAACAGGACTTGCCTTTGTCTTGGGAAGCTGAACCCTCTGGCCTCCATAGCAGCTGCTTTCCTTAATGTCAGTTGCAGTCACAGTGCTCCAGCACACACAGCAATCATAAATCCAAACTTAGGTGTAGCAGGGATATAGGATTTTTAATTTTTCCTTTTCCAGTCAGGGGCTGCTACAGCTTTTCTTCTCAGCCCATCTGTCTCGATCTTTCCTTTTTGTCAAGGACTTGGGTAACATTCTGGTCGATTTTGTTCCTCCATCTCTTTAGCCTGCAGCGCCACCTTGTGGCTTCCAACACACTCAAATGGCTGTGCCCAATTTTTGTGTTTCGTCTATATTCATAAAAATTGTTTATTGCTTCATGAGAAAAGGTAAAAATTGAACAGTTGAAAAAGTGTTTTTAGCAATAACCCTGTTCATTTCTGTGTTAGATTTGGCTCTGTACTAGGCCTTTCGTGTCTGACACAACTCATGCAAAAAAAGGGAAAATTGTGGGTGCCTTCTGGAACCACCAAAATAATATATTTTATTTTGTCAGAATCATTGGGCATAGGAACACCAAAAATTAACAACAAAAAACTTATTTCACATTTTCTTCAAAAAAAGTCTTCAAAATCTCATTAGATTGCCTAACCAGAATCACCGCTCTGCAGTCCAGAACCAAGCGTTTAGACTGTCTCACTACTGCACTTCTCTAAAACGTATGCAAACAACTATGTTTACTCTGTAAATATTACTGCTTCCCATTTCATGCCAGTTTGTCCCTTCATCAATGTGTGAACTACTTGAGAACAACTATGCCTTACTCATTTTCGGTTGGCAAATCAGCCACTCACTAAATGCTTGCCATATTAAGGTATGCATAAATAAACTCTAGGGAGTAGGAAATGAAACAATATTCAGTGCCTTTCCATCTCTGCTACTTGAAAATTGTTTAATTTACTCATACTTTACAATTTGTTTCTTTTTTCTTATATTAGCTTTAAAATAACTTGCAAAGTTAAAGAAGGGACTGACTGATATCTATTTTAAGGTCCCTTTTCGTGGAAATCTGGTAGGCCTTAATTTACATGATGGAGGAAACTGAGAGAGGATCCTCTGTGGTCAGTCTGGCAAAGGATCTGGGACTAGCAGAGGCGAAGCTGGCTACAAGGGGAACCGGGGTGGTCCGTTTTGATGGAAATCTAGTAGGCCCTACTTTCTCTGAACCAAATAAGGGGAAGGAAAAAACAGATCAAGCAAGCACCTATCCTGACACTATTGAAAGTGAGAACAAATTATAAAATCTGACCCACATAGAATTTTATTCAAAGGCCTTATGTCTAGAAAGAAGCTCAATTTTTCTCATAATAAGCAAGAAATGCAGATTAAACATAGGGTTGTTTTACAGAGAAAGGCTGTATACCGCCGACATATGCCGTGATGTCTATAAAAGCCAAACCGTATAAACCTCTCCTTGATGAGTTCTATATTTTCCAACTTAATGAGACTGAGTTATTGGCCATTAAAAACATAACAGAAACCTCTGATTTTTAAATTCAGAATTAGAAACAATAAATTTTTAAATAATTTTTACATAATACTTTTGCCATTGGCTACAAACATAAACACATTTACACATACTCAACATCTTACAATAACTTCTCTTTATTTTTAGATAAGCCTGGTTAAAGATTTCTCATATCACTTACAACAGAAATATTATATTTTATTTAGGGAGATATCAACACAGGGAAAATAGAACTTTTTAAAAGAAGGTATCTTTGAATGGGCACATTGGCTTATGCTTGTAATCCTAGAATTTTGAGAGGCCAAGGATGGAGGATGACTTGACCCCAGGAGTTCAAGACCAGCCTGGGCAACCTAACAATTTCCATCTCTACAAAAGATTAGCCAGGTGTGGTGATCCAAGCTACTCAAGGGCTGAGGTGGGAACATCGCTTGAGCCTGGGAGGCAGAGAGAGCAGTGAGCCAAGATTGTGCCACTGCACTCCAGCCTAGGTGACAGAGTAAGACCCTGTCTAAAAAGCAAAAAAAGGAAAGAAATTTTAAGAAAATGTTATAAAATTCAGATTCAAAAATCAACAAGAATACAAATTTTGAAAGAAAATTAGAAAACAGAACTGTAACGTAGTAAACCTAATAGATGCAGCAAGCTATTTTAATGCTCGAAGTACTAGGAAACTGAGAACTACCATGAATAATGGAGCAAAAAATGAATAGAAAGTGAATAACATATAAAGACAAAAATTTTAAATGATATCAACTTTGAAGATAAAGTCTATATTGTTAATTGGAATTATATGAAAACACGGCTTTGAGTTAAATACGAGGAAAAGGGAAACTGAACTTCACGATATAATCGGAACTAACTATCAGAGAAAAGTAACCCCTTCTGGGTGGTGGTGAGCACGAACATTTTAATCAACGCGACAACAATAAAAAGTTTAGTTATTCAACCAATGGGTTCCTACAAATAATTAAATCCAAAGCTACTGTGAAGTGTGGAATTTTAATTTATTTAGTTCCCAGTTCCCTAAGAGGGGAAGTTGGGGATAATGGGTTTCAGGAACTTGAACTCATTTGTCCCGGAACCTCCCGACAGACACACCTCGTACTGGTAGCTCTGGGACAGGGTCCCGGTGCCGCTCACGTCCACCAGATGCCCCGGAAAGGGACCCTCGGGCACCGAGCAGCGACCCACCGACGCCGCCCTGCTCCTCCTGCACAGCCGCACCGCCACGAACAGGAGCACCGAGAACAGGAAGAGCGACGACACCGAGGCCAACGCCACCACCAGGTAGACGGTGAGCGAGTCGGCCTGGGCCTGGGCCGGGGCCGCCTCCGGGAGCGGCAGGTAGGGCTGGGAGAAGCCGTCCACCAGGAGCACGTGCAGCGTGGCGGTGGCCGAGCGCGGGGGCTCGCCATTGTCCTTGACCAGCACCACCAGCCTGTGCTTGGCCGCGTCGCGCTCGCTCAGCAGCCTGGCGGTGCGCACCTCGCCATTGTGCGCCCACACGCCGAACAGCCCGGGCTCCGTGGCCTTGAGCAGCTGGAACGACAGCCAGGCGTTCTGGCCCGAGTCGCCGTCCACCGCCACCACCTTGCTCACCAGGTAGCCCGGCTCGGCCGCCCGGGGCACCAGCTCGGTGCAGGGCGCGGAGCCGTTCTGCAGCGGGTACAGCACGAAGGGCGAGTTGTCGTTGGCGTCCAGCACCAGCACGCGCACCAGCGCCTCGCTGCTCAGCGCCGGGGAGCCGCGGTCTGTGGCGCCCACGCGGAACTCGAACGCCTGCAGGGCCTCGTAGTCCAGCGCCCGGAGGGCGAACAGCTGTCCGTTGTCCGCGTTGATGGAGACCAGGGAGGCGAGGGGCAGGTGCGGGTCCTGGGGCGGCAGCAGCGAGTAGGTGACCTGGGCGTTGCTGCCTGAGTCTCTGTCTGTGGCGCTGACGCTGCCGATGTGCAGGGCGGGGCTGTTGTTCTCGCGGACGAACAGGGTGTAGGAGGTTTGTGTGAAGGCGGGGGCGTTGTCATTGACATCCGATATCTGCACTGTTAAGTTGTATTCCGTTTGCAGCCTCGGAGTCCCCATATCTGTGACGGTCAGGGTGATATTATATTCAGCTTTTGCCTCTCTGTCGAGTGCTCTCTCTGTCACCAAGGTGTAAAAGTTCTTGACTGAGGGTTTTAGAAGAAAGGGAAGGTCTTCCTGGATGGAGGAAATCGTCTTCCCATTGTTCCCGGAGTCAGGATCTGAAACGCTGAAAACAGCAACTACAATCTCAGGCGAGTTCTCTGGGATGGGGCTGGTGAGTGCAGACATGGTCACCTGTGGAGGATTGTCATTCACGTCCACCACCTGCAGGAGAAGAGTGCACTTTCCTGAAAGACCTCCCCCATCTGCGGCCTTGATGTCCACTTCATAAGACATAGTTGTTTCAAAATCTAATTGTTTTCTCAGTCGAATTTCTCCCGTCATAGGATTTACCTCCAAAGTCTTGTTGATATCCTCCGAAGGCTGAAAGAGTGTGTATGATATTTTCCCATTGGCTCCGCTGTCTAAATCCCTGGCGGAGACGGTGGCAACCAGGGAGCCAAGGGGGCTGTTCTCTGGAATCTGCACTTTGTAAATGGGCTGCTCAAACTCAGGGGCGTTATCATTGATGTCCACCACTTCAATGCGGACCTGGGCGGTTCCAGATCGCGGTGGAGAACCTCCATCCAGCGCTGTCAGGGTCAATCTTAGTTGAGGCTCCTCCTCCCGATCCAGCTCTTTATCCAACACTAGCTCAGGATATTTTCTGCCATCATTGCGTTCTCTGGTTAGAACCCGGAAATAGGAACTCGGGCTGATTTTATAGTTTTGAATATTATTGCTTCCTACGTCCATGTCCACAGCATGATACAGAGGGAACTCAGTTCCTAGAGGACTGTTTTCTAGTATTTTTAGAACCATTTCCTTCTCAGTGAACACGGGAGAATGGTCATTTATATCTATCACCCTCAGTTCAGCCTGAACTATTTCTAAGGGGTTTTCCATTAACACTTGGAAATGTAGTATGCAAGGCTCAGTGGGACCGCATAGCTCCTCTCGATCTAGCTTCTCATTTATGAGCAAATCCCCAGTTTGAACCTTGAGCTGCAAATGCTGTTTGTTCCCCTGGGAAATGATCCTGGTCCCGCGGCTGGACATCTCTGTCAACCTCAACCCCAGGTCTTTTCCTAGATTTGCCACAAAAGAGCCTCTCTCGGTTTCTTCCGCTATGGAATAGGGCCCCAACTCGGCGCCCGCCCCAGACAAGCTCAGCAAAACAAAGAAAACAAGGACTTGCCTTTGTCTCCGATTGTGCATCCACCCAATCTCCATTGCTCTTTCCTGAAAACTTGGTTCACAGAAGCTTCATGTACCCCCAGGATCCTCGTAGCACGGTTTTGCAGTCCAGAATGTCAGAACCAAGCAGCTCACTGGTGTCTTAAAGAGGTTTCACACTGGCATTTGCTCTGGCTCAGCTATTGTTTTGCTTCCGGGCTTTGGGAAACGGTTTGCTGGATTGTGGAGCTGGGTGGGCAATTGTATTTTCCATCATCTTAGCCTGCAGCGCCACCATGCGTTCTCACTGAGTCATATTTTCTGGTTTAATTTTGGAGACAAAATTCTTCTAAATGTACTGAATAAGCTATGCAATTTGAAACACTGAGTCCTATTTTCATGTGTCTTTTATGTGAACAGATGGACCTCTGTGATGTTGCAAGGGAA